GCAGTAGTCCCTGCTGAAGTCAGTAACCTCTTAGGTAGATGCATACACAGGGAATTAGGCAGCCATTGCAAGAGAAATCTTGATCTGTTGTTTTATTCAAGTTGTGTTTAACGTCGGTTTGAGAAGTGCTCAGTGCTACAGTGATGACTGTGAATTTTGTGTCCTGTGGCATGTATGCAACCTCACACTCCCTCCAGCTGGACTCCCCAGGCATTAAGTACGTTTCAGGATCAGGATTCCCAGCAGTACTTCTAGTCTTTCTTGCTCAGTAATATGATTTCTTACTATGACTTGGTTCTTTGGAGAACATGGCTGGCAGACTATTTCCTATGAAACATGATGCTGATGTTCTTCGGGTTTGGATGAGCTGTGATAATTCACCTTCAGTGCAAGCGCAGTTCCTCTGGCTATCCTTATCCTCAGCAAACATTTTCTGAGATGCTGGATGATAAAACATCTGTTTTCTAAGCTTCTTTTGTTGCACCCTGCTGTGAAATCAGCTACCGTTTTGGAGCATTAATCTTATCCATGCTCCTTCCCATATATTCTGGTACCGTGCATGCTACAAGGGGATTTCTCCCTCTGAAGTGCTCTGGGATCCTTGGCATTTTGTTTACAAGCAAAATCAGCAGCTGGAGTTGAGGTAAATAATGCATTCTTCCTCCAGGTTCAAATTGTGCTTCAGCTCAGCCAGAATTTTCTGAGCTGTACTTGTAGGGATAGATTTCCAGGCAGCATAAACTGACATAACTCATTCAGGAGCTTTACACCCTCCTAGGAAGTTGTTCTTTGTTTCTTCACTGAGAGCTTTCTTCTTTTCAATACACATTCTTTTCTTTCACAGATCACTTTCTTACCATTGATGTTTTTTCCTTAAAACTGCTTTTACTGATGTCAATCACATCATCATTCAAACACTGATATTTCTTGCACTTAAATATATACCGCCATATTTTGTACTAAGAGAAACATGGGTCTGGAATTTAAAAAGCATTGATTATATTGCACAAGGAAAATCAAAATGTTGAAGACTGAGAGACAATAATGTGACAGTTTTTGGCTGGTAAGTTTAGGTTGTTCTAGGTAAGCTTCCTTCTTTTTAAGGCTGCGAGTCTGAATGCCATGGCTGTTGGAAAGGTCTTTAAACACAGTGTTACTAGAACTGACTTGGGAAGTCCCCGACCATTTCGTTTGTCAGGGACTGAGGGACAATATCCAGAAAAGGACCCTGGTACACTTGCTCTGATTTTATTTCTCCCTAGGCTTCTGCTGCACACCACTGTTGCAATCCAGATACCACCTCAGCCCTCCACCCTTCCATTTTTATACTCAACTAAGTCTTATTTCCTACTGATGGTCTCCTGAGCTGGACCCTGATGAGAATAAGAAATATTTCTGACATGTACTTGCTAAAAAAAAAAAAAAAAAAAAGACTGATTATTTCATAAATAAAGTTCCCATTAGTCTTGTTACATCTCAGCCATGCAGTTCTGGTGGGAAGAGAGAACTACTAAATATTGACTAGTTTGTCTACTGTCCTCAGGACCACTTTGTCCTCGAGCTTACTGTCACAATCTTCTCTGCATTCGGTTTTCCATTATTTGGAAAGGATGGTCTTTTCTGGAGGTCTCTGTCATTAACACTCTGTCAGACGTTCTTTGCAGCATGATGACTTACCCTTGAGATTCTGGCCTTCTCGAGACATGCCCTCCGGTTTGAATAATTTCTGTTTGTTAAGTTCTGTTTTTAACTTCCTAAGCAGGCTGCTGTTGATTTTTATGTGCACCTTCTGTTTGTTCTTAGAGTATTTCTCATTGCTTTGGGAAATGACCTAGGGAGGATTTTAACATCTCAGTTAATTTCAACAGGCATCTTCTTATTTTGCTTCCATTCTGCGTGAGACTGGATAGAGCACTAACATTTCTTTGCCTGCATAATGCACATATTAAGAACTGCAGACATGCAGATATTATCCTTTGTTGTTATGCTTTCTGTAGGTTGTGTGTACATTACAAAGTAATTCCTGAACACATTTACTGCTTTTTCCAGTGCAGTAGGGCAACATGGCTTTCAAGCACAGCTCCTTAGTTCTCCTCCCGTACGGAGCTGTAAGCTGGGGATGCAGCTAGGAAAATGATCTGACTAAACAGCACTTCTTTGTAGCCACTTTTATATCATAGTAAGCTGCATTTTTACACAACTAATGCAAAGCATTCCGAATGCCTTTCCAAATGGCAAGCATGGCTTTAAACAGTCCTGTGAAGCCGTCTTGTTTCTTTCTGTTAGCACTATAAACTGCACCTGGATTTATAGTGGTTTATCTGTATTTCCTACTCATGTTCTTCTGGGGAAGGGAAGGCTTGTGCACATATACACCTTTCAGGGGATTTGTTTTCTAAACCAATGCTGTTTACACTGAAATGTTTTTACATCTGTTACATTTTCTTATGATTCTGGAATAAAGTACAGATTTATAAGTTTGTATAAATATAGAAATTTATTTTGGACCTCCCGTAAGCCTAGGTTTAAGGGCCATCCAGAATTGGGATCTTAGGAAAGTCAGATTTGGAATGGGTCTGAACTGTAACCGATTCTTTGCTCATAGCAGCCTCCTGTGATCCCCCCTTAGATTAAATTGTTTTCTGAGGAACCAGAGAACTGCCGGTATTGGTTCTCCTATTTGGGCAGGACTACTACTGCTATATCAGTCCTGGAGGTTTGTTTGTTGTTTCGTTAAAATTGATGCCCCTCTCCCTACAAAAGTTTTGGAGGTGATCTGAATCTCTGTTGGAAGTCTCCCTGAAAGGATTACACACTGGTTAAAATTGATATTGAATGTCTTAGTATCAATTTATCATAATCCCCGAAAGGCATTTTGGCTTTGTTCCTACTCACCAAAAGAATAACTCACTAACTTTATCACCAGATGAGTGGGCTGCGGCCCATCCTTGCTGTCCTTATTCAGAAGCTCTTGAAAGCTGGAAAAAATGCAACAAGCACTACCCCGAGTATTGCGTCAGCCACAGAGTTGGCTCTAGTTTAGAGAAGAAAATGGTGCAATTACCACGTGTACTGACAGATGGCAAAGTGCTGACTTTCAGTGGAGCTGACTTTAATGCCTCCAACAGAGGTAATGAATTTATGTTGGTAACAAAGACTGACCTGAACCTACACTTAAGCCTAAGCATTACTTTGAATTTTCATATGCTACTGCAATTTCTGATTCTAATGGGAAATGACAGTGGCACTTCAAAAGTAACATTAGAAAAGTTTAATAGAATTTTGGACCTCCCAGCATAAGGAAGTCAAAGAATTTTCATTAAAAAAACTTTTCCTGTGAGATTTCAGGCCAGCTGTGCACATCATAGAACTTATGTAAATATATGACATTGTCACACCGATCTTTAGAGTAAGCCTTGACTTCAATTTAAAAAAAGAGTCTTTGAATTACCTTTGGATAATTTATTTTTACTTCTTGTCATTTCAGTAGTGAAACAAGGTTTCTATAGTGTCTAAATGACTCACACTTTTTGAAATACTCAAAAAAGTCCCAGAAGTCCCCCTGAAACAAAACATGAGAAGAATGGATCCTGCTTTCTCACCACAATGAGCAGAGTCTCCTTTTTTATTCAGAATTGGCTTCTACTTGACCATCCGTATATATTGTCAGAGATAATATAATGGGTGAGGTTGTCAAAGGAAGAAGTACATTCTTGTTAACGGTTTGAGTTTAAACCCGAACGACGGAATTGCATGGCAACAAGATCATCTGCTGTGATTCAAAATGTGCAGAGAAGTACCAATAGAGGAAGAAAAGGACAGACTATGGGCAAATCAGTAACTCCCAGCACACTCAGAGATGTCCCCTAAAGAGTTCAAAGTGCTTCCTCCAATGCATGACTTATAAGCCATTACCTGTGTCAGGAGGGCAACAGATGACAGTGATGTACACACATATATGGTCTTGAGCCAAGGAAGCACTTAAACGTAGGAATAAGTCCACCTGTACTCATGTAAGCACTTAAGACCATACTTGATGTGCCCCAGGACATTCAATATATAAATATCTACAATTGCTACTTAACTCAAAAGCAATATAATTAGTTTATATAGGTTCATGCACATAGAAAAATGTAAAGATGAAAACCCACCATATTCTGGGACCTGGCCTGTTCCACGTTTCAACAACAGTCGCACTCTCCTGCCACCAGACTTGATTAGCTCTATTGCTCTGGCATGTGTCATGTCCCTTGTGCTTTCTCCATTGATTTCAATTATTTGATCTCCTACCTGTCAGGTAAAAAGAATACTGAGTCAGACAGAATTGCAGTAAAATGAATGTTTCAGAAAGAGACATATTCAAAGGATCACAGGTTACTTGAATGACAGACAGACACATCAAGGTAAATTTGTTCCCGACTGAGGGATATTACTGGCAGTTTAAATAACCTCCAAAGTGGATTCGGAACGTGGTATATCAAATGCTGCTCGTCTTCAGCCAAAATCAGTGTAATGCATTTGTAACTTGCCTCATGTCTTCTACACGTAAGAGGTTTTTTTTTAATTGCTTGATATGTTGGAATCATTGGAAATATTATCTGTACTACACTTTAACTTGTAGTGTTGTACGGGCCTGAGAAGACCTCTGCTGCATTTAACTTGCTGTTTTCATAGAGAAAAAAGAAGTTCAAAGCACAAATACAAGGATCCATCATTTAAATATCCAAATCTTGGTAGCAAAGTTTCACACCAAATTGAGAGTTGTTATGAAGCAAGCTATTAAACAAAGAAAAGTTAGTGGCTATGGCACAGATCACACAGATTTGCTGGAGTTCTTACAAGAGCATGCTTTGAACTATTTATCCACAGAAGGTTTTTGCTTGGAGTAAGCACAGCCCCTGGCTGAGCTGTCTAGTTAGAGCGGCAGAATCTGATTAGAGAGTTCTGCAAATCATCTCCCGGCTGGCTTTCCAATCAGAGTTAGCTTCACTATTATTCTTCTGCCTCTATTTCTACAGCTGTAAAATGGAGCACTGATGTCTGTGTCTCCCATCCACTCTGATCTCTCTCCCAGCTTTGCCTTCTGCTGGGATGTTTTGGTTCTACTCTTCTCTCCATGAGAAGAGCTGGCTTTCGACGCTGGAAACCTTCTCAATGAACAGGGGAGCGACTGCTTTCCGCTGTGCCTGGTCGGCACGGCAGACAGCACATGCAGTAAGCAGCAGCTGTACAGCTTCTTTGGTGCTGGAATACCACAGCCACCCACTTATTTTTGTGAGACAGTTAACGGAGCAGCACAGTGAGGGGATGTGTGAGCCTTGTATTGGCAGCACCACAGCCTTTGGAGCTCATCTTTTGCAGCTGTGTTGCAGAAGCCTCCCAGCCCCATCGCGGGGGTGACCCAGGTGAAGCCCAGGAGGGCTGATCTCCTGGCGCTGGGAGAGGAGCAGGTCCAGGTGTTGGGCAGCCAAGAGAGGTGTGTGAGGGTCTCAGCTGGGTGGGTTCAGCAAACTCATTTATCGGTGCCAGAGGAGCACATCTGCTTGGCAGGATCAGACCTGCCTCGGTCTGCATCTACGGCTTCCTCACTAAAGTAACTACACTACACTAAAGTAACAATGCTGCATGCATCCTAGAGAGGGTTTTAAGGAGACAATACAGATTTCAAGATGACGGGCGCTTCCTTTTCCTCTTACAAGCCTATCTTGACAAAACCAGCTCTTTGCTGATCTTGGACATTGAAATGTTTTCTGTTTGGTATGTTTTCTTTGCTACTATTGTATTTCTGTCAACTACAAGTGTAATCCTTCAGAGGCTTTCCTTCCTTCCTGAGTCTGAAATATAGTATTTACCAAATAAATGTGCATAATACGAAATGTCAACAAGACTCCTAGCATCAAAGAAAACTGGAAGGGATGTCAAGAAATTATCTAGTCCCTACTTTTGTTCAGAGACAGAAAGAATGCCACTAAAAGCATTATGGCAGTTTTTCTCAATAGGAATCATACCTTGTCAATAGGAGTTGCAGCCTATTTTAAGAACTCTCCCAGGATCCTGCACACAATCTCTGCCAGTACTTTACTTAACTAAAAAGCCATTGATCCGAATAAAACTTCTCAACTTTGCTATCACACTTTGTAAATGCTGCAGACTGAGCAGTGGGGGAAAAAATTGGGATTATTTTGTGCAAAAAGGCCTTATTTTTGCAGTGCAAATTTCTTCCTTAGCAGATTTTCTCTGTTAGAAGGAATGCATTTGGTTGCACCACGCAGTATGCATTTTTAGACACTCCTGATGACCTCCAGGCCACAGTGAGACACAGTGCAGATGCTCTCTGGATTGTGGAGGGATGTCCCCTGGGTTTGGCCATGCAGGGCTGTTTGCATCACCCTGACTTTTGGAGCTGTTGGTAGGATGTAGTTGCTGCACACACTCAGAGCAAAAATGGAAAATTTCTCTTACCACCTCCATAGCACAGACAGAAGATGGATTTGTAGCACCCCCACAAGGGTACCAGTCAGGCCAAATACAGACAAAATTCAACCAGTTTGGGAAAACCTGTTTCTAAATGTCACGAAACAATTAAACCCTCATATAAATCCTATAAAAGTAAACTCAGATTTTCCAAAGCCTTAAAGACAGTTCTTTTGTGTGTCACGTTGCCTGGATAGACCATGTTTTGCAGAAGATATTTAAAATGATCTTGTTAGCATGTTTTGAGAGAAGAAGTGGCAGATTAAATCAAATGAAGGAGGTGTTTTTAACACTCCTTGATAAATAGCCGTTAAAATGGGTACTGATGAAAGCTGTTCAGAGCATGCACAGTCCTTCAGATAAAATCTTCTGCACTCCAGAGCAGAAAGACAGAAAGAGATTTGAATACAGTTTAATATGTAAAAAGGTTAAGTTAATGTCACATTTTTCCCTTGCTGTTTGCCTTTCTTCTGTTCTCATTGGTCAATATACAGGAACTATCTTGTATTAATGTAACCTTTTCTGTATTTCAGTGGATAAAAATATTTTTTTCTCTGTAGGCAGCAAGTAGCTGATTTGATAGTTCCCACTTTTAATATAAAATCTTATGTGCAAATAACTTGGGAAAGCTTAAAAAAGGCCAGCATCTTGGTTATGTGACCAAAGGAGGGGAGAGAAACAAATATATGAAAATTAGGTATTCTGAAATTTACCTCAGAAGATGTGAGACCAGAGTTAGAAAGAATAGTTGCAGGAGCGGGGGGTTAATTGTATTCCACGCATTTCTGTCTTGTGGCTGACTGATGCATAACTGAATTATGCTGCCTTTGCAGCACAAGCCCAGCTCTGATTAGATAAGAGAAACAACACAGAAAAGTTGCCAACACTCTTACACCGAGAAAAGCTTCAATTAGACTTCACACTCATATCTGGGGAATTCGTACAAAAGAGAAAACCTTGACTGAGGAGTGGTTCCCCATGTGTCTAATAAGGTACAAATTCCTATTCTTATTTTTTCTGCAGTTAAACATTTATAACCTCCCCTTCCTTCCCCTTGCCTATGTAGATTCTCTGATGTCTGATATGGGAGGAAACCATGCTGTATGCTTTCTCTCTGTCCAGGCATTCAAACGTGCTCGCTCTCTCCTCTTTTCTATTGTGGAATAGATTTTTAGATATTGTGGGGCTATTTCTGTCTTTTTAAAATCCAGTGATTGTTTAAGAGGAGCTTAGATATATGCACATATTGAAGATGCACCAAGGTGAGGCCAGAGATAACGGTAAGCATAGAAACAGATCCGAAAAGAACCCGGTGCCTATTATATGGGATCCTCATTACTTTCTTTTCAGGATCAAAAGTTGATTCCTGCAGTTTTATACCACACATGACATTTCTCTATACTTCTCTTCTGGATCCTTCCAAGTCAGTCTGCAGTCTCCAAACTGGAGATATTACTAAGGTGGGGGGAAGGCAGAACAGATCAAAAAGATAACATTCTTCCCTTGTGGGAGAAACACTTATTAATAATGTTCCCAGAATGAGACCTTTGCCTCTTTGCAACACGTCAGATTTGTGACTCACGGTTAGCTTGGATTCCAAGATTATCCCCAGCAGCACTGTCTAGACAGTTATCCCCCATTTTACATTGTGCATCTGATTTCTCTGCCCTAAAGCGAGCACAGTGCACCTCAGTGAATTTTATCAGATTGACTACTTTTGTATGAAATTTTCATTTTGAAATCTAAGTCAGTTCCTCAAAGTCCTTTTAAACCCCCTATGAATAGTGACATCTTGGCATCAGCAAATTTTATTTTATTATTTATCAATAGGTCTCCAATTATTAATAAAATTATTGACTGGAGCTTGTTTCGTCCCAGATCCCTTAGAACCACACTTGTAATTTCACACTTGTAATTACTATTCAGGAGCAAACCATTCAGAGCAGCCTTTGAGAGGGGCTATTTTCAGTAACCCCATTACAGTGATTCCACCTAAAGTCTATTTCTCCATCCTGTTTCTGTGAATTTCATACAAGGTAGCGTTGAAAGGTGAAAAGAAGATGCCTCATACATTCTCCTTCCCCCTTTTCCACAAAGACATCAAAATGAAAATCAGAAATAAGAAATGAAAATTAGATTGATCTGACAAGATTTGTTTTCCACAATTTACATGTTGGATTTTTTCAACTTTTTGATAACTTGTCACAGATTATTTCTGAGAATGAAAGTTAAAGGAACTTTTCTCTATTATTTCACTTTAAAAAGAGGGAATATGTTTTCCCTTCTCTAGTCTAGTCTGTTACTAACTTTCTTGTTCTCCATGAATTCTTGGACAGAATTACTAATAGCCTAGAAATTACTTTCTTTTAGTCATTGAGCATACACGAACATCAGCAGGTTCAGTTGACTTGAATCTAAGTATGTTTTAAGCAGTTTTCTCCTTATTCTGATTTATACTAATTTCTCTTTGTTGAAGTTGATGTAGTAAGTTTATGGTGCTTCTGAACATCTCAATGAAGACTGATACAAAGAAAGCACTGAATATTTCAGCATTCTCCACATTCTCAGCAAGCAATGGACCTCTTTTTTCTTGTTCTTCCTATTTTTTTTAATATATTTATGTTACCTTTTCTTGTTACCTTTTATACTTTCCTTGCAGACTACTTGGATATCATTCTGACACATTTAATCTTCCCTCTGCATCTAGCGGGACACCAGCCACCTAACAGGTGGTGCAGCATCAAGCTTTGAGTGTCTAAATGTTTTATTGGGTATGACCCTGTGGCATTAGCTCCTTTCACGGAAGGTGACACATT